CCTCCTCCTCCTCCTCCTCCTCCTCCTTCTTTTCCTCCTCCTCCGCCTCCTCCTCCACGAGATCCGAGGCCGGATCGCGCGAGCCGGCGCCAGCCGAGGTGCCCGCGCGCTCGCGTGCCCCCGCACCGCGGGCCGCGAGGCTCCCGGGGGATCGGGGTCGCGCGCGCGGCGCGGGGCACGTGCCGCCCGCCGACACAAGCTCTCCGAGAGGACGGCGCGCAGTGCGAAGGGCGGCATCGGCGACGTCGGCCGCCACGGTGGGAAGCGGCGGCGGGGCCGAGTGAAAATAAGGACGCGCAGTACAGTCGGCTTTGATTGGAGAGGACACGCGAGAGGACACAAGACCCCTCGGAAGGCCACATCGCCATAGGAGGGTAAGAAGGCACGTGTCGCGAGGCACAGGACACGAGGGTACCCTTGAGCTGGCAGGGTCGACCTACTAATCCGCGCCGACTGTAAGGATACACAATAAGGATGCTGAGGACAGTCGCCCCGCATAAGGAGCACGCTCGAGAAGGATACAAGGGCCTTGGAGGGCCACGTCGACACTCTGCGAGCGGGGTGGGGCCCGCGAGAGCGGCCGACCAGGGGCCGAAGGGAGAGGACGCAGGGGTAGCCTTGGAAAGGTGCGTATCCTTCTCATACAGGTCGACCGAGTGCAGGCGGGAGGAGCGAGGGAGTAGGAGGAGGAGGAGGCGAAGGAGAAGTAAGGAGCGAGGGGTGGGAAGGAGGGGTGGGAAGGAGGACGAGGGACGAGAGAAGAGGAGGGATAGTGGAAGAGGGAGGAGGGCGGAGGAAGGGGGATCGAGGATGGAAGGGCGGATCGAGGGAGACAAAGGTAAAATGTTCGAGACGGCTTCACACGAGGCGCACCCTGCTGGCCTGGCCAACCCGCGGATGGTGAGGGGGAATGCACAAGGAAGAGGACCGCATCACTGTCATGACCCTTTGCTCATCGGAGCATCGGCGCTCCGCTCGGGGGGGACGAACGGGTAGGATAGCAAAGGGTAGGGCAGAGAGTCAGCTCACGCAGCTGGCTTTCCTGGGGAGGAGGAGGAGGAGGAGGAGGAGGAGGAGGAGGAGGAGGAGGAGGAGGAGGATCAATGTATGGTCCAGGGTCTGGGCCACTCACCCCCACACCCCTCATGCTCATGCCGCCGGGTCCCCCCCGGCCCGCCCGCGCGATGGGGCCGCCCCTCACACGACCCCTGTGGGCGGGGTGTGGTTGGGGTCTTCGGTGGGTGTGCGGTGGTGCGTAGGGGGTCCCGCCCTCCACCCCCCCCCCCCTATGGATGTGGGGCGGGTGGGTGGGTGGGTGGGTGGGTGGGTGGGTGGGTGGGTGGTGGTGGCGTTAGAGGTGGTGCTGGTGGTGGCGGTGGTGGTGGTGGTGTCGGTGGTGGTGGTGGTGGTGGCGGTGGTGGTGGTCGGGCCCTCCTGAGGAGGATGAGAAGGAGGAGGAGTAGGAGGAGGAGGAGGAGGAGCAGGAGGAGCAGGAGGATGAAGATGAGGAGGAGGACGACGAAGACATCAGCGTCGGCATCGGCATCGACATCGGCACATGCATCGCGGCCCTAGGCATGACGTACGGCTGCTACAATTGACGGACGGAAATGCCAATATGTAATCGCGCATAACAGCCGTGACCAGCTTGGGCTGGCCTCTTCCGATGTTGTTGCGGTGCTTCAGTGGGCCGGAGCAGACTGTGTCTTCGTCGTCGTCGTCGTCGTCGTCGTCGTCGTCGTCGTCGTCGTCGTCGTCCCCATCCCATCGGAGGGGGGTGCCCGAGGGATCCTGAGACCCTGTCCTCCTGTGGGGGGGTCACGTGGGCCCAGAGCCCGGGATCATGTATCGAGGAAGGGGCCCAGCGGCGGGGCCGAGACCATCTGAATGCAGCAGGTTTCGTACCCCCCTCCTTCCCTCGGGGATCTACTTACCAGGGCCAACCCAGACCAGGGTCAGTCAGGCTTTGCAGGGTCCGACAGATCCTGCAGGATCCTGCAAGATCCTACAGGATCATGCACCCAAACCCGGGTCGATGCAACCCTGGCCTTCCAGGACCCTGCAAGACCCTGCGCTCTGACTGAACCCCGTTTGCATTGACCCCCGTCTTTTGAACCTCGAGTCCCTAAGGACGGTGCTAAGACGAATATGAATCCATTCCAGAGCGTTCCGGAACGTTCTCAGAGTGTTCTGGAACGCTCTGAGAAGGCCGCGGCGCCCAACCATCCTCCAAAGCCGCCAAATTCCCATGATTCATGATGTATCCACACCCAGCTCCATCCTCGTCCTGGCTTCCCAGGCAAGCTATTGGCTGCTGGGCCTCACGGCTCCTCCTCCTCCTCCTCCTCCTCCTCCTACTCCTACTCCTTCTCCTCCCGCGCGCGCAGGAGGGCGTGCGTCCGGCCCGATCCGCGGCGCGTGCGCCAGGGGCCCGCGAGCCCGGGCGGGCTGGGCGTTCGCCCGCAGGCCGCGCAGTGTGCGCGGGCCCGCGCGGCCGCCGAGGAGCGAAGGGCGGCCGCCGTGCCACGTGGCCTCCTCGGGGCCGGCGGGGCGCGTCTCGTGCGCGCGCCGCCGTGCGGAGCAGTCGAGGCCCGAGCACGGGCGTGCCGCTGCACACCTCGGCACGAGGCACACGAGGTGCTGCTCTTCCACCACCACAAGCCCACAGGGAGGAGGAGGAAGAGGAGGAGGAGGAGGAGGAGGAGGAGGAGGAGGACCTCGCCATCCTCCCTTCTCCCACGTCCTGCCTGTGGTAGTGGTGGTGGAAAACTGGCCCATCGGCACAGCCATTTTTTCGGCCGCGAGCGACTCGCCGTCGCTCGGCCGTCTCCTCCCTGTGCATGTTTCGGCTTCGTGCGCGTTTTTTGTTTGCCCGATGGTCGAGGATGCACCTGGGAGGTCCTCGCAGAGACAAAACTGCACACGGTGTCACACGTCCGAGCGATGCCAAGGCGAGGGGGAAAATGGGAAGGCGAAGTCCTTCTCGGAAGGTGGCGGGGCTTCTCAGAAGCCCTGCGGCCTGCTGAGACGCTTCTGATGCCTTCGGGGAAGGGCTTAGAAAACTGTCCAGAAGGCTGGGGGCTTCCGAGCCTTCTGAGATGGCCCCCTCTCGCTTCCTTCTGGGCTCGCCGCCGACACTGTGGCTCGAGGCACAGGGCTCGGCTGTCCTGCTGGCAGCGCGTGGCACAAGCAGCGCCCAGGCCGGCACGTGGTCAGCGCACGCGCGCTCTGGCAGGAGCGCTGAGCCGAACCACTGAGCACCGTCGCGGTCACCCGGACAGGGCGCTCCTGAGCACTCCGAGCCCGATCAACGACCTCGCATCCGAGGACGAGAGGAGGACCTGCTCCCGAGGGATGGGTGCTCCCTCCTCTTCCTCCTCCTCCTCCTCCTCCTCCTCCTCCTCCTCCTCCTCCTCCTCCTCCTCCTCCTCCTCCTCCTCCTCCTCCTCCTCCTCCTCCTCCCCCTCCTCCTCCTCCTCCTCCTCCTCCTTCTCCTCCTCCTCCTCCTCAGCCTCCTCAGCAGCTCTCTGCGCGCACGGCCGCGCGTGCACGTGCGAGGGGCGGCCTCTCGCGGCGGGCACGGCAGCGCCCGCACGCGGAGCGCCGGCCGCGCAAGCAGCGCGGCGGCGCAGGGGCGGTGCTCCTCCCCGTGCTGCTGGAGGGGCGCCCTCGCGCACGCCGCTGCCAGGGGGGCCTGGGGCCACGGCAGCGGCCCGTCGACGCGGGCGCCGCAAATAAGGCGGCTGGGTCTGCTAGCGGTGCGACGCCGGAGTGCCTGGGGCTCCTGCCCGTGGGAAGTGGCCGTGCAGCGGCGAGGCAGACTCCGCCTCCTCGTCCTCGGCCACCTCCCCCTCTCCATCTCCTTCACCTCCTCCTCCTTCCTCCTCCTCCTCCTCCTCCATCCTGGGTCCCATCCCTTCATCCTTCTCCCATTCCTCTCATCCTTTTCCATCCTCCTCTTCCTGCCCCTGAGATCTGACGTTGCCAAAAAAACGGAAACATCGCGAAGAATGACGACTGGAATTCTAGACCCCATCTTCCTGCTGCAATCTTCGAGCCGGACGCACCTGCGTTGGTCCCGGCCCGAAACCAGGCGACAACGCCCGGTGTGAACTTGCAACGCCAGGATCTCAGAGCCTCCTGGATCCCATCCACTTTTCTCTCAGAACACGCCGCGCCAGCGTGGAGGCGCAGCGTCGGTGCGGGCGCCCGCCCTGGCAGCCACCGTGGCACCTGCTGCTGCGTCGGCCGGCTCTGCAGCACACGGCGCCGAAGGCCTCGGATCGGCCGGCTCTGGGAAGCAACTGCCGCGCTGACGACGAGGACGACGACCAGGTTTGGGAACCCTCAGGGGACGCACGCGCCGAGCCACGTACATGAATTACGGGAAGAAGCAATCACATAAGCATAATAACGCCAATGATGCAGATAATACGCGGCCCAAGATGGGGAGCGCCAGCGATTGCGAATGGATTGGGGGGTAAGACATCTAAGCAGAAGAGGACTGAGGTAATGTGAAAACACATGCGCAGGAAACGATATATACACGCATACATATATATATAACAACGATACACATATACGTGACGAGAGAGAGAGAGAGAACCATCACGTAGGGAATCAAATCACCCGTATGAAGAATAGATGGACGGAGAATCATAACCCCCATCAGATGAGGACAGGAGTGAAGGGCTTGCTTTGGACAGTGATTGAACCCCTCCTCCTCCTCCTCCACCACCTCCTCCTCCTACACCTCCTCTCCTCCTCTTGCCGCCCTCCTCGCCTCCTACCACCCTCTCCTCCTCCTTCTCCTCCTCCTCCTCCTCCTCCGCCTCCGCCTCCGCCGCCTCATCCTCCTCCTCCTCCTCCCTCCTCCTCCTCCTCCTCCTCCTCCTCCTCCTTCTCCTCCTCCACCACCTGCTGGTCCTCCTCCTCCTGAACAATATCCTGCCGCCCTCTCCTCCTCCTCCTCCTCCTCCTCCTCCTCCTCCTCCTCCTCCTCCTCTTCCACACTCCTCCTCTCAAACCACGTCGGTTCGAGCAAGCCCCCCAGCGCCGCACGGCCGTCGTCCCGGGGCATAATGTGGGGTGGTGTGCCGCTCCCTGCCGCTTGAAGTCCAAGTGCTCCTGGCAACGCCGGGTTGAATTCGTATGCCTCCCACGTCGTGTGCATGCTGCAGCTTTTCGCTCTCCAGGTAGTTTTCCTCATGTTCGTGGAGCTGCACTTCTTGGTTGGCAGGCTGCTGGGTGTGCAGGTGCATGGTGTGATCTTGATGGTGGTGCCGTTTCGAGGCGTTGTTGTTACTCTGCGGGGCTGGGCCATTTCTATACTGGGTTGTCTTTGTTCAATCGGTTTTCTGGTGGGATTGACTCAGCGCAATTTTATGCAAGGTTCGAGGGATGAGCCGTGGCGGCTAGCATTCCCCTCGCCCAGGGCCTGGCGTGCCCTTGTGCCTTATCGGCGGCTGGTGGAGTCCAGAGTGTTTGTCGCGGTGTGGATGGCCTACGGCCTAGGCTTTCTGCGTATCGTTCGCATCTGGCTCTTCTTCGTTGCCGTGCTGGTGCTGGCGGTGTTCTTCACCATGTACGCTCGCGTTATGTCTATGCGGCGATGGAGTGGGAGGGTCAAGGCAGGCGGCGTTGGTACAGTATTTCAGCTGGGTGTTTCACGTTGTGTGTAGAATCAATGTCTTCTCTTGCTGTGGTTGCAAGAAGCGTGAGCTCGCCACATACCATGGGAGTACTGCTGGAGTGCCAGTTTTTATTGCGCACGGCGGGGGGCATTCGCGCGGGTGTAATTCGTCATTGTCATCCTCGCCTTCGGCCTCCACATGTTTGTGGCTTCCCCGCATGAATGATGAGTGCTGAGTGCGGCCAGGCTTGCACCTGGGGTCCGCCAATTCTGCTTCATGCTTCATGCTCTACACTCCTCCTCCTCCTCCTCCTCCTCCTCCTCCTCCTCCTCCTCCTCTTCTCTTCCTCTCCTCCCCCCCCTCCCCGTTGTCCGTGCCGGGCCAACTGGGCCACGTGCCAACACCCCTGGAGCCTCACGACGCCGCGCCCCCATCCCCCGAGTTTATGCCATGTTCGCCGGCCCACTTGTGCGTCTGTGCGCAAATTGACACGAATCCGCGTTGAGTGGGCCTCCTCGCACCAATATTGTATACATCGGTGGATATACGTGTGCGACGAAACGTGCACATGCACACGGGCATCCTGGCGTGCATAGACGGAACAGAGCGACAGATGAACTAGACAGAACACGTGCGTTTTACGCGTTGCTATACCAATGCGGTTCATGCGTGGACTCTAATATAATGAAAGATGAACGTGCGAGAGCGAATGAGAGAGAGAGAGAGAGACAAAGAGAACGAGAGTAACTTGAAGTAGAAGGTCCTCGTCAACCACGGCACCGGTTGATCCTGGTTGCCAATATTTACTGTCATCGTTATTTTTAAACTCGCTGAACAGCGGCTCGAATGTTGCACTCGGCCTCGCTTAACAAGCGGTCCGAGATCCACAGAAACGAAAATACGGATCTCACAAGCGAAGGGCATATACGAAAGCTGTCCAACATGGTTTGTTTTGTGAAGAACTACTATCGGCGGCGGACCCAGGGGCAAAATGAGAGGGGGCAACCCTCCTCCGAAGGCGGCGGAACTTCTCAGAAACCCTCGCGCCTTTTCAGAATCCGTGCTTGGCTCCGGGGAAAGCTTAGAAGGCCTGCCCCCTCTCACTTCCCTCATGGGCTCTTCGCCGAAACGAGTTCCACCCCTAGACTGGCAAGTCCATAATATGCACCGCCGCAAGCTCAAGTCGTGAAGCCTCTGGGAAACTGCTCTCGCCACCCGCCCCACGGGCTATTCCCGTCGGGTGGGGAGGGAAAAGGGAGGCTGAGGCTGAGGATCCAGCAAATCGTGGCCGTCGGCGGAAGAATCCCATTGGGGGCGTTCCCGCTTTCGCTCACGACACCCGCAAGGTCCAGAGCCTCCGCTAAAACGCCTCCTCTCTAAAACGGCGTTGTGCCCCCCTTCCTCCACTAACCCGCCGTTGCTCCTGATCCCTTTGCTGATTCTTCAGCATTATTCCACTTGTCCTGATGCGCTCCTCCCCCGTACTCGTCTTGAGCACGGACTACAGTCGGACCTAGGACAGAAGAACATCGTTCAAGAGCATGGGGCCCTCCGCCAGCCCAAACTGAAGAGCATTCGAGGGTGCCCTCCCCAAGGATGCACAAAGAACATCCAACAAACATAAAGAACAGAAGGAGCGCGTTTCTTTATTGCTTGGGGCATGACGGGCGTCATGGGCCCCGCCCCCCCCCATGACGTAACGCTCCTCCCCCAGTGCGTTCTGGGCACTGCCGAAGTGCGCATCGTGATCCGCATAGGCGTCCGCGTAGGAATCCGCCTAGGAATTTGGTCCGCAATCGTCGTCGTCGTCGTCGTCGCCGTCCGTCGTCATCGTCCGTCGTCGTCGTCGTCGCCGTCGTCGCCGTCGTCGTCGTTGTCGCACGTCGCTCGTCGTTCATCGTCGTCGTGCGCGCGGACGCAGCTGGAGCCTGTTTTCGTATTCTGGGCCGATGAAAGCAATCATCTGGGAGGGGGCGGGGGCCGATGACATAACGTTTCGCGCCAGCGGCGTCTGGGAATGCCTAGGAATTGACCAAGGACGGGTAGCAGCGCCTGTGTACACCACAGTGCCTGCGTGCACCACAGCGCCTGTGTACACCACACCGCCGATGTACACCACAGCAGCCGCGTGCATCACAGCGCCAGTGTGTGCCACAGTGCCTGCTGGCACCACGGTGTTTGTGTAGATCACAGCGCATGCGTACACCACATCAGCCGTGTACAACACAGCACCAGTGTACACCACAATGCTTGCTTGCACTACAGCGCATGTGTACACCACGGCGCCTGTGTGCACCACAGCAACCGTGTGCAACAAAACACCACTGTTGCATATAAAATGTTATAAGAAATCCTTATGACAGAATGAGGCGCCTGTGGATTCAACAGAAAGCAAATGTTTCACATAGGATTTGGCAAAAAAATGACTGATTTAATAAACCATTCTGCGGAGCACGCTGAGACGCGCAAGTGCGCTGTAGTGCCGAAACCAACGACAGGGGGAGAGGGTGAGGGAGGAGGAGTAGGACGAGGAGGAGGAACAGGACGAGGAGGAGGAAGAGGAGGAGGTGGAGGGAGGAGAGAAAAACGTCGCATTCAATTCGCAACAGTTCCCTGGCATGGCGTTTAGCTGTCCGCAGCAGATCCTCACCGGCATGCTCTTTCTACCTGTCAAGTGCACGCAGGCGCTCTGGTGTACACCAGCGCTGTGTTGCAGGCGGATGCTGTCGTGTAGACAGACGCTGTGGTGTGCACAGGCGCTGCGGTGCAAGTGACCACTGTGGTGTAGACAGGCGCTGTGTTGCACATGGCTGATGCGGTGTGCACATTCGCTGTGGTGTACACCAGCGCTGTGGTCGGCGTACATAGTGTGGTGTACGCACGCGCTGCGTTGCACACGGCTGTTGCGGTGTACGCAGGCGCTGTGGTGTACACAAGCGCGGTGGTGCAGGCGAGCACTGTGGTGTACACAGGCGCTCTGGGGCAGATCGCCACCTACATGCGCTGGCACGGTGGCTTGACTGGCCACAGGAAGCTGGATATCTGAAGAAAGCTCAAGTGAGGCCTGCAGGTTGAAACTGATTCGCCCTCCACCTATGCATCAGATGCGCACTGTCTAACATCTGGTCACACAACTTCAAGAACTCCAAATCGAGAACGCCTTCATCAAAATTCGCCGGCCCAACGGGCCAGAGGCGTGCTAAGATCTCCGGTAACTGGTAATCAGTATTTTTGGTTCGCGCGCGCGCGGGGCGGCCCCTGGGGGTCCCTGGATCAAAAGTACCCCGAGAGGAGCCCGGGACACGCCCGGGACACTCCCCCAGATCCTCCAGGATCGCCCCAAGAGGGCCCCAAGAGGCCCCCAACACGGTCCAAGAGAGGTCCGAGACGCCCGAAGATCGCTCCACGACGCCCAAGATGGCCTCCAGACGGCCCTAGAGGTCTCCAAGATGACCCAACAAGCCTCCAAGATGCCCGAAGAGGCCTCCAGGAGCACTCCCAAGAAGGCCCCAAGAGGCAAACATCAATGTCTTTTTCTTAGGTTTTGGACAGATTTGGGCGTTTCAACCTGTTCGGTTCCCCGACGCCCCTAAACGGCTCAAGAGGCCTCCAAGATCGCCCCAAGAGGGCCCAAGAGGCCCTCAGAAGGGCCCCAAGACGGCCCAAGACGGCTCCAAGACGGCCCCAGAGGCCTCCAAGATGGCCCAACAGGGCCCCAAGAACGCCCCCAACACGGTCCAAGAGAGGTCCGAGACGCCCGAAGATCGCTCCACGACGCCCAAGATGGCCTCCGGACGGCCCAAGACGTCTCCAAGATGGCCCAAGAAGCCTCCAAGATGCCCCAAGAGGCCTCCAAGAGAACTCCCAAGAGGGCCCCAAGAGGCAAACAACTGTGCTTTTCCTTTGGTTCTGGACGGATTTATCGACAACTACACAGCTCCCGACGCCGCAGCTCCACACTGCAAACGACCACTCGGACAGGCGACCACGGTGCGACATTATGGGCCGGCGGAATGAGCGAAGCGATTAAATAAAACCGACACCCAACGAAAGCTAGCTTGTAAGGCGAACGTAAGCGGGGCAAACCAATTCTTAAGACGAAAGTATACGGCGCCGGCGCCAGCGCAAGAACAAAATTTGCCCTCCGTCCGTACATCGTGTGTTACGAAATTTAAACGGTAGACACAAAGCCTCAAGCGAAAGCCGAAAACCGCAAGCGAAAACCCGCACATCTGGTGGTAAGACGACGGCGAAGTAGTGCTCGGTAAGTGGGATGGGAGGATGGAGATGGACGAGGACGAGGGAAGAGGAGGCCACGAGGACCTCCTTCTCCTCCGCCTCCTCCTCCTACCCCTCCTCATCCTCCTCCTACTCCTCTCCCCACCATTGCTACTGCTACTGCTACTACTTCTCTCACCTTCTCCTCATCCCCCCTGTCCTCCACATCGGCCTCCCACATCCACATGATCGTACTCTTCCTCTTTCATCTCTTCCCCATGATCATCCTTTATTTTTTATTATCGTTCCCTTTCTCCTCGCACTCCACCTCCGCTTCCAACTCAGCCTTTTCCTCGTCGCTTCCCCTCCTGTTTCTTCTGATGATTATTGCTATGTTTCTTCTTCTCATCTTCCCATTGCTGTTCCTCCTCCTCCTCCTCCCCCTGCTCCTCCTCCTGCTTCCTTACTCCTACTCCTCCGCCTCCCCCTTCTGTTTATTCCCCCTCCTCCTCAGGGACGCTGTTGCGGCAGGGAGTGGAAGAAAGCGGGAGGAGGGATGATGAGGGAAGATGGGAAGGTACGGTGGGAGGGGAGACAACGAAGACGCAGGTTTGTTCAACACGTGGGCCCACAGAGCTCCCGACCAGTGTATGATGCTATCGGGCACGAAGAGGTTCCCCCAACCCCCTAAACTCTGGAAATAATGGCCACCTCTACTGTGAATGACGTAGTCCCCAAAATTCCCCCCAAAGGTCCAAACGGAAATCCCAGAAGACCTCGTAAGCCTGCGGAGGTCAATCAGGGACAGCAGACATCAAAAAAAGTCTGTCAACATCGACCTGCGTTCTCGATAGGTCTGGGCCCCCTCAGAAGTCCCGACCCCTTTCCAGCGGGTGGCTTTCTATCACGGATTGTGCCCTGACGATCCCGGGGCCCTGCGACGGGGCCAGCAAAGTCCGGAAACACATGGTTCCCCACCTCCTCCTCCTCCTTCTCTTCCTCCTCCTCCTTCTCCTCCTCCTCTTCCTCCTCCTCCTCGTCCTCCTCCTCCTCCTCCTCATCCTCGTCGTGGGGCCTGCCAGGTTTCAAGAAAGCATCTCCCGACACGCCTCATGCCGCACACCCGCGGCCGCCAGGCCAGAAGGGTGCGCCAGTGCTCCCTGGGGATCACTGCCTCGTGTCTCCGACGAGAATGACGACTGCACGTCGCGGCCGCAGGGCCCCAACGGTGCCTGCGCTCCCTGAGGGTCCAGCCTCGCGTTCTCTGGTGGGCCGCTCGATGCGACATATGCGCCAATGGGTTCCCATCAATACGGGGTCCCCCGAAGTCTCTCGACCCAATCACCAGGACGGGCTTTTAATCCTGAATCGTGTTTCGACGGTCCCGAGGCCCAGCCAGAGCCCCTAGAGGCCGAAAACAGCGAAAACCCTCCGTCGTGTTTTTTTCATTCCGTTCTCTGGGCTCACGTACCCGGGACGAGCCGCGTCCCGCGGTCCTGGGAGAACTCGGCGAACGGAACGCCTTCGGCGCCGCCCGCGCTGCCCGCCTCGTTCGGCAGGGGGCGGGCGGCCAGATCGGCGCACCGGGCCTTCGTCGTCGCCGCCGCCGCCGCAGTCGACGCCGTGCTGCCTTCCTCCCCCCCTCCTCCACGCATCCCTGGAATGCCTTCCTGGGCCCAGACGCACTGGCGTCGCGAACAGAGCCAAGACGACCGACACGTTGTTTTACTATTTCTGAGGTTGGGGAGGGGAGAGATTGCTGACCTCGGGCAGGCGTGTTCGGGCCTGTGAGGCCGACAGAGGCGACCGGCGAGGAAAAATGTCGGCCCTGGCGAGGGGATCGAGGGGAGCCAGAGCCGTGACAGCGCCACCCACACATCGGAGGTCTGGGATGCCCCCAGGCGAGGCCCCAGAGGCTGCCCGAGGGACACGCAGATCTGGCCCCCCAGCTGCCACACCTCGCCCACCCCCGCTTCCCAGCCTCCCTCGCCCCCCATCCCCCTCCCCCCCCCCCCTTAGGGCTAGGTCGGGCATGTCCTCCTACAGGCGGATTTTGGAACAAAAATTAAAATTATCCAGGCAAAGGACCCACTCAGATACACTCGTGAGTATCGCAGTTGTGAAAATCTTCTTCGGTGGAGCTCCCAATGGGGCCACGAAGCGCTGCACTGGGTGGGGGGGAACGCATGCGGGCGGTAGCACTGGGACCGTCGGTGGAGCTCCGTGTGGGGCCACACAGCGAGCGCTGTACTGGGTGGGGAACGCATGCGGGCGGTCGCACTAAGGCTGTCGGTGGAGCTCCCCTTGGGACCACGGAACGCTGTACTGGGCGGGGGGGACGCATGCGAGCGGGGCCACGAAACGCTGTACTGGGTGGAGGGGACGCATGCAGGCGGTAGCGCTGGGACCTTCGGTGGAGCTCCCTAGGGGGCCACGAAACGCTGTACTGGGTGGGGGGAATGCATGAGGGCGGTAGCAGTGGGGCCGTCGGTGGAGCTCCCTACGGGGCTGCGAAACGCTGTACTGGGTGGGTTGGACGCATGCGGGCGGTAGAACTAGGACCTTCGGTGGAGCTCTTTGTGGGGCCACGAAACGCTGTACTGGGTGGGGGGGACCCACGCGGGCGGTAGCACTGGGGCCGTCGGTGGAGCTCCAAATGGGGCCACGAAACGCTAAACTGGGTGGGGAGGACGCATGCGGGCGCTAGAACTGGGACCTTCGATGGAGCTCCCTATGGGACCACGGAACACTGTACTGGGTGGGGGGGACGCATGCGGGCGGTAGAAATAGGACCTTCGGTGGAGCTCCTTGTGGGGCTGCGAAACGCTGTACTGGGTGGGGGGGGCACGCGGGCGGTAGCACTGGAGCCGTCGGTGGAGCTCCCTATGGGGTCACGAGGCGTTGTACTGGGTGGGGGGACGCATGCGGGCGGTCGCACTGAGACCGTCGGTGGAGCTCCCAATGGGCCTATGGTGCCACGAAACGCTGTACTGGGTGGGGGGATGCATGCGGGCGGTAGAACTGGGACCTTCGGTGGAGCTCCGCACGGAGCTGCGAAACGCTGTACTGGGTGGGGGGGACGCATGCGGGCCGTAGCACTGATCCCGTCGGTGGAGCTCCCTATGGGGCCACGAAGCGCTGTACTGGGAGGGGGGGGACGCACGCGGGCGGTAGAACTAAGGCCTTCGGTGGAGCCCCCTGTGGGGCCACGGAACGCTGTACTGGGTGGGGGGAGGCACGCGGGCGGTAGCACTGGGGCCGTCGGTGGAGCTCCCAATGGGGCCACGAGGCGTTGTACTGGGTGGGGGGGACGCATGCGGGCGGTCGCACTGAGACCGTCGGTGGAGCTCCCAATGGGCCTATGGTGCCACGAAACGCTGTACTGGGTGGGGGGATGCATGCGGGCGGTAGAACTGGGACCTTCGGTGGAGCTCCGCACGGAGCTGCGAAACGCTGTACTGGGTGGGGGGGACGCATGCGGGCCGTAGCACTGATCCCGTCGGTGGAGCTCCCTATGGGCCACGAAGCGCTGTACTGGGAGGGGGGGGACGCACGCGGGCGGTAGAACTAAGGCCTTCGGTGGAGCCCCCTGTGGGGCCACGGAACGCTGTACTGGGTGGGGGGAGGCACGCGGGCGGTAGCACTGGGGCCGTCGGTGGAGCTCCCAATGGGGCCACGAGGCGTTGTACTGGGTGGGGGGACGCATGCGGGCGGTCGCACTGAGACCGTCGGTGGAGCTCCCAATGGGCCTATGGTGCCACGAAACGCTGTACTGGGTGGGGGGATGCATGCGGGCGGTAGAACTGGGACCTTCGGTGGAGCTCCGCACGGAGCTGCGAAACGCTGTACTGGGTGGGGGGGACGCATGCGGGCCGTAGCACTGATCCCGTCGGTGGAGCTCCCAATGGGGCCACGGTGCGCTGTACTGGGAGGGGGGGGACGCACGCGGGCGGTAGAACTAAGGCCTTCGGTGGAGCCCCCTGTGGGGCCACGGAACGCTGTACTGGGTGGGGGGAGGCACGCGGGCGGTAGCACTGGGGCCGTCGGTGGAGCTCCCAATGGGGCCACGAGGCGTTGTACTGGGTGGGGGGGACGCATGCGGGCGGTCGCACTGAGACCGTCGGTGGAGCTCCCAATGGGCCTATGGTGCCACGAAACGCTGTACTGGGTGGGGGGATGCATGCGGGCGGTAGAACTGGGACCTTCGGTGGAGCTCCGTACGGAGCTGCGAAACGCTGTACTGGGTGGGGGGGACGCATGCGGGCCGTAGCACTGATCCCGTCGGTGGAGCTCCCAAAAGGGCCACGGTGCGCTGTACTGGGTGGGGGACACGCATGCGGGCCGTAGCACTGGGGCCGTCGGTGGAGCTCCCTGCGGGGCCACGAAACGATGCACTGGGTAGGGGGGGACGCATGCGGGCGGCAGCAGCACTGGGACCTTCGGTGGAGCTCCCTATAGGGCCACGAAGCGTGTGAGGGGTGTGCCGAAATGAGCTTTGGGGGACGCATGCCTGCGGTGGCAATGCCGCCTTCGGTGGAGCTCCCTTTGGGCCACGAAACGTGTGAGGCGTGCGATGATGGTGATGATTACGACGATGATGGTGATGATGACGATGATGGTGATGCTGGTGACGATGATGATGTTGATGATGATGACAATGATGATGATGTCGATGACTCTAAGGATGACGATGACGATGGCGATGGTGGTGATGCTGATGATGATGATGATGATGATAATGAGCATGGTGGTGATGATGATGATGATGATGAGAAGGAGGAGGAGGAGGAGGAGGAGAAGGAGCAGGAGGAGAGGAGGGAGGGGGCAGCGGGAGGAGAAACGCGAGGACCGTCTCTTCAAAACGAGGACCCAACACCACAGGATGGTTGGGAAATAGTCAGGTGTACTCAAAAATCGTCCCCTGATTTTTTGTCTGACAACGTTTGAATTTTGCCCCTGTAGAAGGACATGCCCGACGTACCAGTGGGCACGGGCCACACGTGCGCGCCCAGCCACGCGGCGGATTCTGGAAATCCTGAACCGAGAAAAGTCGTCATCTCTTGGGAGGTCGACTTTTCTTCCGCCGGCTTCCGCCGGGTCTTCCGCCACACTCTGCCGGCGGAGCCGCCCTTGCTTCCGCCGCCTTCCTCCGACCGTCCGCGGCCATCCGCCGAGGCAGAGATGACAACTCCTTCGTTTCTCGACGGCGAGGCCCCTTCCTGGAGCGCCCCGCGCACGCGTGAGCACGCCCCCTCCGCGCGCGAGGCCGCCCCCCTTGCCGCGCGCCCTCGCGCGTGGGCGGCCGCGCGCACTCCGTGTGTTGGCGGTCTACACCCCTCCACGAGGACGGCCTGGGACCGAAACCGACGGACCCAGACCCGCCAAAGCGACGGCCTCGACGCCCCCTCGCGAGCCGAACCCGGCCAATTCCTCCATCGACCCGTCAGGATGGGAGGCCTGCCCACCCCCGAGCATCCCGGGGCCGCTCCCGCCCCCCCTGTCGCCCCCGCCCCTCGTGCGCCGCAGCCCGTGGCCGAGCCCCGCGGGCACTGGGCACTGGCGCCGCCCGGGGGGCAACGAGAGGGGGGGATGGGCACAGGGGGGGATCCATGGGCGATCGGGGGCCGATGCATCCCCGTATGCCTATCCCCCCCTATCGTTGCCCCCTATCGTTGCCCCATCGTTTGCGCCGCCAGGGGGGGCACCGCCTCGCCGCCCGCCCATCGCCACCCCCGGGGGCCGCGACGGCCTCCGCGCGGCCTCTGCGCTCATAGCGTGGCCCGTGCCAGCGGGCGCCCCCGCGGCCCGCGCGCCCGCGCCGAGCCCCCAGACAGCGGCGCGGCCGCGGGGGCATCGCCCCCATCGGCGGTGGATGATGGGCCTGTTCTCGACCACCACCACGACAACCACCACCACCATACGTTTGGAGGAGGGAAAGGAGGTGGAGGATGAGGAGGAGGACGATGAGGAGGAGGAGGACCCCCTCCCCCTCCTACTTATGGTGGTGGAGGTGGAAGACAACCCTGCCAGTGGACAAGCCTCCCTTTGGTAAACCTCCCTCTAGCGAAAACGGCCTGGGACCGAAACCGACGGACCTGGACCCGCAAAAATTGACGGCCGCGACGCCCTCTCGCGAACCGAGAACGGCCAATTCGCTAATCGACGTGTGTCAGGGTAGGAGGTCTATCAGCTCCCGACCTCCGCCCGGTGCCAACCCGGCCGCCCGCTCTCGCCAGCCTCAGGCATGGGGCTGCGATAAATTTCTACGTAGGCCTCCTAGGTGGGCTCGGGGTAGATGGGGTCGGAGGGTCGCGCCGCATCGCCTATGCATCGCTGATGCGGCTCGATGTGGGTCCCGACTTGCTTCGCCTCGACGTCGCCGATGCATCGCCCATGTCGACGGTGCATCGCCGGTGCATCGCCGATGCATCGCCGATGCATCCCCGATGCATCGCCGATGCGGCGCGATGTCCGACCCTATCCACTCCAACCCCATCTGGGAGGCCTCTAAAATTTGAGGGGAGAAAGGTACCCTTTTCGGACCTTGTAGGGCCCCTCCTGGGCCTTAAAGGGTCCTTTCAGGAGCCCTTTCAGGGCCCCTTTTCGGCAGCCCTCGCTGCCCCCCCAGTACGCGCCACCCAATACCCTTGAGCGCGACGGCATCGACGGCTCTCCGATCACCGTGGCCGTTGTCAGGGAGCCCGAAAAAGACGTTCTTGCCCAACCATGCACAGAATGTGGCGCACCAGTCCACGAGGCTGGCATCGCTTCGCGAACGCTCACGCAGCGCATGCTCCCGAAGCTCACGAGCACTCCTGTACACGTACGCCTTTCCGTCGCTGCTGACTTGTGCCAGCCCACAGGCGTGGTCGTCGGCGGCAAGCGGCGCCCCAGAGCTGGCCACGCCCGCAGAAGCCAATTCACGCAGTCGGCCATCGACGCGGGCGTGGTGGCGGAAATCCACGAGAGATCGCGTTCGTGTGAGCCAAAGCTTGATGTTGAAGGATTGTCTGTCTGCATATCTGTCGTCTGTCCATCGTCCCCGGCTCCCTTACTCGGCACTCTCACGTGGAAATATGACTAGCGATGTCTTCGGCGTGCTCGTTCGAGCGGGGCCAGACCAGACCATCCCATCCCAGACACTGTGTCGCATTATGTGACGGCACGAGACGCGTGGCGGATGATGAAAGCCCGCAAGACATCGGCAATATGCCTCGGCAAGCGCGACGAGCGTGCGAGCGGGTTTCGCACTGCCACTGGCACTTTCGGGGGTCGACAGAACCCCCGCTTGGCAAAACAAATTGAGCGGAAAAGACCCGACCCAACCAACGGGCGCCCCGCACAAAATGCTAGTCGCTAGTCGACCTGGCAACCAACCTGTCGGCAAAATGGGGGATTCGATCCATCTCCGAAGCCGTGACGAGCGAGCGATCTCGCCTCACAGACGAGGCCCCCGCCTGAGACTTACTCCGCAGTCAAGCTTTAAAAGGCCAAAACACCGACGGAGGCAAGAATCCTGATGACCCGCTCGGATCAATGACATACAAGGGGGGCCCGTCTGAGACTTCCTTGCAATTCATTCACAGACGAGGCGCCCGCTCGAGACTTTCTCCATGCAGTTCCCATGCATGTTTTGGTTTCGTGCACGGTTTTTGCTCGGTGGTCCAGGATGCTCTTCGATGGCTCCTGTTGAGAGACTACGCACAAGTCCAAGCGATGCCAATTGCTCAGGCTTGAAAAAGCGAATTATGACCTCGCGCTATCACTGGTGCAATCCGAGGCACGGCGATTCCCGAGCGCTTGCACGCTCCTGCCCTGCATTTCTCCTGATCGCACGTGTTGTTATTTAGCATGCCAATGCGCCGTCTGGGCGCGGCTTCTGCGTTCGTTCGTTCGCCATCACTGGCGGTGGAGCATCGCGCTGCCACCTGGGGCACTGCTGAGCTCTGCGCTGCGCGTGTGGTGCGCCGCCCCCCGTCGCCCCCCGACTCCGGGAGGCCTGAGCGGCACGACGGCGCCGAGACTCGGATCGGAGACGGCGCGGGGAGGACGGACGGAGGGGGGGGAAGGAGGGACGGGGTGGGAGGAACGCGCGACAAGGAGGAGGGTAGGGGGCGACGGAGTAGGGTCTGCGAGTGAGGGGATTGAGAAAAGAAGGAGGGGGGGATGGGCAAAGATCATGGCCGGAGAAGGGGGCAGGAGAAAGAGGAGGATGGAAAGGCTTATGGCTGGCGAAGGGGGGGGACGGAGAAGGAAGAGGGGAAGAGGAGGAGCGGAACAGCATGGGAAGAGGAGGGGGGGGCAGAGGAGGAGAGCGTGAGGAATACAGGGGGGGGGGAACAGGAGGCAGCATGAGGCAGGAGAGATGACCGAGGGAGGTAGGCATACGGCAGACGGCAGGAGGGAGAGATAACTGGCCAAGAGGGAGGAGAGGGGAAGGATGGATGCACGAGGGACTTGAAGGCGGGAACACAAGCTCGTCACCTCCTCCATCCTCCTCCCTCGTCCCACATCCCCTCGTCCTCCACAACCTCCCCATGCCTAGAGAGGCATCGATTCACGGAACAGCGGCCCCCGGCGGGATGCACAAACAACGCGCACCGCTGCCCGCATCATGGCGCGAACATCGCACAATTCGTACACTCGTGGCTCCACCAGCTCCGACTATGACATCAACGGTCACAGATCGTGCATGCGTAAACGAAATGGCAGTCAACTCCTCAGAGCACCCGCATGATTACGGCGTGCAGTTATGACGCATGGCGGAAAAAGGTATACCGCGCCGACTGTCGGACGCGACGTTCTTTCATACAGATGCCACTGCAGGCCGATGTGACGCACCTTTGCGGGGCCCGTGATGTGAGCGGCATGCAGTGCCTTGTGGCGCGCGCACTGTCCCACGGTCGGGGATGGAAAGACCCCCCTTTAGTAGAACGTGGTTTAGTGAAAACGACCCAAGGCCCAAACCTGGCGGGCGCAAGCCTGGAAAATAACGGCCACGGCGCCCCCTCGAGAACCGAAAACGGACAATTCACTAATCGACGTGTCACTGTTGGAGAGTCTGTCCACCCCCGACACGGACTTCGCCCGCCCCCAACAGAAACGAAGCAGGAGGGACCAAGTCCAGTCGCCCTCGAGGGCGCCTGCTGCCCGCTGGGCCACGGGAGCCCCGATCGAGGGGGCCCCCGTGCAGCCCGCCCAGGCCCAGTGAATATCGAGCCAACACCAGCCGGCCGCTGGGGGGGCCGCTAGGGCCCCAGCCGAACGGGACGCCCGTCAGGCCAGTCCGTCCGACATGGGCAAGCCTCAATCCGACGACATGCAAGCAGGGGCCCTGGCATCCCTTGCAGGTGCAGGCCAGCTATGGTTCAGGCGCGCTTTTAGGCGTGACCGAGCGAGGTTTAAGCGCATCGAGTCCAGGCACAATTCAGCCGTTTCGCGGGGGCGACTCAAGGAAACAACATGTACGCAGGAACTATGACATCGCGTTGAAGTTGGTGCGGCCATGGTTCAGGGATGTGTCAGGCGTTTTTCAGGTTTGGCTCACAGGCCCGGCTCAGGCGCAATTCAGCCGTAGAAAGTGCGCGACTCGAACACGCGAACTGCAAGCAAGAACTCTGTCATACGTTTCAGGTGCGGTTAACCGTGGTTCAAGCGTGGTTCAGGCGTGGTTCAGGAGTGGTGCAAGTGTGTTTCAGGTGCGGCTCAACCATGGCGATGGCGCGACTCAAGGAAACGACATGCAAATAGGAGCTCTGGCATCCAGCTGAAATGTGGTTCCGCAGTGGCTCAAGCGCGGTTCAGGCGTGTTCCAGATGAGACTCAAGAGCACGAAATGCAAGTCGGATTTCTGGCAGCCACTTCACGCGTGGTTCAGCCATGGTTCAGGGGCGTGTCAGGCGCCCTTCTGGCGCGATGCAAGTGCGGTACACGCGCATTTCAGGTGTAGCACAGGCGCGACTCGCGAAAACGAAACGCAACCAAGAAACTTAGCATCCATTGCAGGTGTGACACAGCCGTGGTTCAAGCGTGGTTCAAGCGTGGTTCACTCGCATCTCAGGCGCGGTTCAGCCGTGGCGCGTGTGGGACTCAAGCAAACAAGCTGCAAGGAGGAATCCTGGCATCCCTGACAGGTGCGGCTCGGCCAAG